AAATAATAAAGTGCGCCTAGGCACAATCGACTACTAATTTCGTGCTTACTACCAGTGCGTAGCATTTTACCTATGCCTCGCGCTGCCCAGGCAAATGTTATTAGAAACTGCAATAAATACATCAGGTACTTTATTTTTAACTCTTCACTATTGAATATTTTTGTCAACCTCTTTATCACATTGATTACTACGGAGATCAATATGAAATAGAATCATTTTATTTCAAAAAAAATTATCTTATTTTCAATGATGTCGTTTTTCGCTTTCCAAAGTTGAAAAAGAAAGTTAGTCAAATGACAACCTGAAAAAATGTAAATTAAATAAATCTCCGTTTTTCAGATAGTACTGATTGAGAATTTTCCAAAATGAGAGTTTATTATTTGCCAAAAAGAAGCCAAATTACAATTCATCTGCCTAATCCACAATAAGCTAATACACAAGCGCAGTTCCAATTTAAATGGAGAAAGAAAAAGGAACAAGAACAGCTCCTAACAAGAGAATAAGAAACAAAGTAAAGACGGTTTATGCATACCATATAAAATCAATCCAAGCCACAATAAATAATTCACACGTTAAAGGTTAAGGTACCTAATAATGAACAGTGAATCTAAACCAACATAAATTTGAAGCCTTCTTTAGGGATTGTTTCAGTACATTACGGAGGTGAAATTGGGAATTTAACAGTGCAACCAAAGGATTATAGGCGAGAAATATTGGGTTTGTGACAAAATGCAAGTTCTAAAGGAGTATTGAGAATAAACAATTGACCTCATACAAACTATAGGTGCAGCATGTAATAACATGACCCCAAATAGAAGTTTGGAGTCTTGTTTTCATAAGTGATTGTGTAGCTATAAGTTTTACATTTGATAAAAGACTTTACTAGACATTTTTCATGTGGACATGAACAACTGATTATTTAATGACAATCCTAATGACCATACAATACTAATCGAATGATAATAATGTAAATTCAGCTATATTATCAAGACAAAATATTTTGATTGAGTAATCAAAAAAATTGATCTCACAATAGCAAAATTTACATTCCTAGCAAAAAAAATAGATAGGTCAAGGTCCTACGAGGTACCTACTACTCGGATTACCATTCCAAAAGGAAAAAGATGTGTCTGTCTAAGTAGGCATTGGATCATCTAATAGAATAATAATAAAATCATAAAATAACAAATTGATCTAAGTGGAAATTACACTAGGGCAGGTATTTAAATATCACACTTCAAAACTCAAGTGACAATTTCACTTTTTAATATTAATAATTATATTATAATTGAATATATATAACCACATCCCCTAACCCAATTAAACTCTCAAACCCTAATACATGTTTATACATACTCTCTCTCTCTCTCTCTCTCTCTCTCTCTCTCTCTCTCTCTACCACCATCTATAATTGCCTCGAACTGTCGTCGCTGTCGCACCCAATCTCTTCTCTGACCAGTATTTTCCATCTTGTCTCTCTCCAATTAACTCTTCTCTCACAGGCCATTGCCTTGGAGGCGGTGCTTATATAGCCACTTCACGCAACAATCTAGTGGGCAGTGGCCTTGGTTTCAAGATTTTGCCTTGGTGTTGATGCAGCGATGGTGGTTATGGTGGTAGCGACACGGCAACGATAGGTGGGATGAAGAGTATTTGTGACCAACTATTTAGGTTTTTGTGACAAAGTATTGGTGGTGGATCAAAATCGAGGGTGGAGTGTTTAGTAAATGCGACCAACTATTTAGTTATTTGTGTCCAACTATTTAGTTGTAACCTAAAATTTCTTGATCAACTAACTTGAAAATTTGTGACTGAAAAATAAATTGTGACATATAAATTTTTTAATTTGTAACCGTGAAATAATCTGTAATCAATTAATTTAATAATATTTACCAAATAAATAAGTTGTGACCTATAAATACGTAATTATGACATTATTGTATAATTGTGACCCTATTATATTTAATTAATAAAATATTTATTTATTATTTATTTATCAACTAAGTTGTGCATTTTGAAACTTAAAATTGACCCATAGTTAATACATGAGTTGTGAATTTTTCCCTTGATCTAAATGGTGGGTGTATCAACCTACATATATTTCCATTAACCTTTGCCAAGAAAGTTGGATATTCAACAATAATCTTTATAGTTGAAGGTCTTGTGATTAACTTGTATTACAAACAAGCAATACATGGATAATATCTTTAGGTAAAAGAATCCACTGATTCTTTAGGGAATGTTCATGTGAGTTGTCTGCTATGCTCTGCATGCGAAGTGTAACTTGCCTTGGGTCCAACGGAGTTGGCTAGACACTCTTTCTTGGATGGAACAATTTCGAGGGAGGTCAATGTCCTCCATTGTTATTCGGTTAATGTTTGCGGCTTCGATTTATGCTATTTGGCATGAACGTAATGCTAGGACCCATGGAGAGGCTCCTAAAAATGAGTCTACTGTTATTCGAGATATTGTTTTTACTCTTTGTGTACGAGTGAATTTGTGCAGGAGCTTGGTTCCATCTAATGAAAATAGATGGCTCCAATGCTCTTGGGGGTTTTCTACAAATATTTTTTGCTCTTGTGATTAGAATATGAGCACTTTTCTAGAGTTTTATTGTTGTTAGGAAGGCATTAATTCCTAGCATTATTTCTTGGGTATGCCCTGTGATTTGTACTTATTTTTATACTTTGAATATAATATACTTACCTTATCCAAAAAAAAGAGCTGTCTGCTATGCACCATCTTCTAATACCAAATTCTCACAAAAATTAATAATTATATTGTGGATAATGAAGTCCTTTCATTGTGAATTCTAGGAAATTGGAGACCATAAAAGATGCAGAATTGGAGTATAGAAAAACACATCAATTCAACCTAAAAATTTTGCAAAATTTCTTCGACTAAAATATGTATTTGCATGCAACTTATTTTTTTATACCCCAGACTTGGGGAGGGGAACTGTTTTTATCCTTTTTCCTTTCTTATTTGTGCACATGACTCTATGTTTAATAGTTTTTTGAGTAATTCTTGCAATGATATATGAAATGTTGAAATTAGATGAATATCTCAAATTAAACAATAAGAAAATTTCTATCAATCAAAAGATAAAAACGACGGCTTAATTATTATTTTTTGTTAATAATCGAACTGTACAAATAAATCTTACACTCTTAATTGATAGCATTTTCATCTTGTTGGAATGTGGAAGCGAAATTATCCAACAATTAAAAATTTTCATTAATTCAATAAACAAAAATGTCTAGATATTCACGTATATATTATAACAAAAATAAATTAGTCAAATTTTTACCTAAATTCAATAGTCAATTCTTGATTTAATTCTGAATCACGAACTTCTAGATTTTTCTTGATCATGAACTTCCAATTTTTTAATTCCAAATACTTGATGCTCCGAACCTCCAAGTCTTCTATGAGAAAATAATTATTTTTCTCTATTTTTCTTTTTTCAAATTTGAACACTATGGAATTATGTATTATGATTACAATACAATTTCATTTGGAGCACGGGTTTTGTCGATAAAAAAAGAAAATGGATTCAAGTAGAGTTTTGTGGAATGTAACAATAAGCTAGACCCATACTGCGAATTGTTTCATGCCATAAATAAACTCGAACACTCAAGAAATCTGTTGGACAGTTGAATTCACACCTCTTACAACCAACACAGGAACGTCTAGTTTTCATCTAATCTTCATTTAAAAGATAGAATAGTTACAATCCTTGTACAATAGTAATTCCACATTCAAATAAAAGTTCTAATTAAAATTCAAATATGAATTTAAATTAAAATCCAAATTCAAATAGTTTACATTAAACTATATGTGTAGTCCTTGATCATCAATTACAATTATAATTAAGTTCGCAACTTTCATAGTAATTACAACGAAGTACAAAACTTTACAATTAAGCTATTATAATTACCGTAATCAAGTTTCAATACTCGAGCTACCACAGGACCTGATCAAACATATATTATCCAACCTCCAATAATTAGATACTGATTAGTCGACCCTAGATCACTCAATCTAATTATTAGTCTTTGCTTTTTCATTAAAAGCAAATGATTAAACTCTCAAAATATATGAGATCACAAAAGTCAATAAATCTGTAATACTTCCCTCTGACCTGCAGTGTATGTACTTTATCCACATCCAAAATTTGATAATTAGGTACGAGCATAAATGACAATTTCTCTTTCTAACTATTCTCACTAATTTAAGTATCATTTTCTTCAACGGTCTTACGAACTAATTACTGATGTCGAAGTTTAGCTCTCCCTAAATATTGAGCTCAAATCTTAATCGTTCAACAAAAATACTTAAGTAGTCACTCTATCAATTTTTAATGGTGGCGATTCTCGACACGAACTTTTGTTCTCTACTCGCTCATTCTCAAACTCCCAACTCATTGAGATAGTTGATTAATCGATTTGATATCACACAATGATAAAGCAAGGAACCATTAAAATTACAACAAGATATATATGACTCTGTCAAGGGATGTAGATGAAATATACAACGATAAGTGAAACTTAATTTTTCGCAAGGTTATGCTATAAAATTAAATCCGACACGTGGTCTATTCAATATAATCCAAGTGTACTAGTGTCAACTTTAATTATTTCTGTGATAAGGACAAATCACAAATCCAAATAGTTAATTGGTCAACATTACAACCTTCCAATACAATGTTCCAACCCTTATACATTGACGATGAACAAATTATTGTGATCAAAATATAAACAATATACTTCTCAATGCAAATACCCAACTTATATTATCACTAGTGATGATAAGCACTTTAATTTGTATACTCAGTAATAAATAAATGCAACAAATAAATAAAACCACAATTTATTTATTATAAATTATTATTTTGTTATGCAAAATATACTATATAGCCACATAACTGAACTCCTCTGTCATCTAGCATTGAACAAGTGAAAGCTAAAAAGAACGGTCTCTTCGATACAATCAATCAATCAATCAAAATAAGTAATTCATTTAGAAATCAAGAATTGACATTTAGAAAACAAATTGTGAGGCCAGATTTAACATTTCACATGTTTAAAAGCATCACCATGAGAAAAGCCAATCCGACTGTAGCTCCAATAGTCACACTGAACTTGGTTGCCGATGAGAGAGTAGTACTATCAGGAAAAGATACTGCAGGAGAAAGCGCAGTCACAGAAGGAAAAGTATTAAATATTGGTGAAGGAGAGGGAGAGGAAACTGGAGAGACGAGAGAGGAAGTAGTGGCCAGTGTTTGTGGTGGTGCCTGAGCAGCGGCCGGAGCCAATACAGAGGCTGCAATCGTGTTAATTTCAACCTTCATGCCGGCCGAGCAGTGTCCAGGAATCCCACAGATGAAGTATCTTTTGCCCGGATTAGTGAGAGGAATGACTGTCAAGCCGCCAATGTAAGGAGGGTTTAGAGGGTTGCTTGTCACGCAAGAATCGTAGTCTGCCTTCGACACTTCAAGAAGATTATGGAATGATCCATACTGGAAAACTGCATGCAAATATATAGAAATCGGTTATTAAAATTGATTCATGTAGTCGAATCTAATTCCTAAATTTATTAATACTTACACAAATTATCTGCAGGGGAAAATGTTTGAGATGTAGCCCATGTTTTAAGATCGGTGAATTGATCCCATCCACCATTTGGGGCTCCCACAGTGTGATTTGCTGCCTTAGCCATATAAATCAACATGGCTATCATAGCCAAACTAAGTAATGTTCTATGCATTTTCGATTTCAATTGATGGGAATGAAATTAATTTTGAACAAAATTAAAGCTTCGATATAGACTAATTTGGCTTCTGTGGTTTGATTCAAGGCAAGGAATTCTATTTATATGTGTAATTGACTGGTATTCTGCATGGATTGGTTGATACAGGATAATAAAGAATCATATTGTTCTGAAGATAAGAAAATTAATGAACTTTAGTGGGAGTTGCTGGTTTAGTTTCATAGTTGTTGCTAAGAGTATTTGGTTTTGTTTCATAGTTGTTACCAATTATATATATATATATAGTGTGTGTGTGTGTCACATCACCTAGTGTCTAGCATAAGCTTAGTGCCGATATGTAGGAGATCAATTTCGTATATAGGTATATTGTATACAATAGAATATGTGAAACAATTCCTAAAATTAAATAATCAGATCTTACTAAAAACGTCGACAATTATATATTTGAAAAAAAAAAATAGTTCCACAATATCGGTAATTCCTTTTTATTTATTAGTCATGTTTCTTGCAGCAATTATATTAATTTTTGAAAAAAGAGTAAAGTTGAAAACAAAAAAATATAGCAAGGATAAACTATGTACATAAAAATTAAAAACTACAAACTTTTCACCATATAAAATAATTTATTTGCAGCTCTTTTACTTAATTAAATTATTAATTATATGGGGTGGTTAACAACAATCACATGGAGATCACCTAATCGATATAACCAAATCCCCAATTAAAACCGAACACAATAAAAGAGCACGAGTAGCATAAATGAAAGAACGGCAATCAGCAGGTAGTCCAGCCCCCAACAGATTGAGGATGTGGAAAGCAGCTTCGAAGTTAAACATAATTTCGCCTAAATTTTTTTAAAAAATAAATATTTAGTTTTGAATTGTGTTTACAATTTTTTTTTTTATTTATTGAAAATTTACTTCGTTTATAACTAAAATAGAGATTATCTTCAAAAAAAAAAAAAAAAAATCTCGATCTATTCATTTAACTTTCAGTAATTTTTTTAAGTTGAGCCGAACATGCACAAATATATTGCCCTTGTAACATAAACGGCAAAACCCTTTCTATACGGTAATGGGCAAATATGTCATCTACCATAATTATAGTACAATAAAGAATAGAATGAGTTTGATTGAAAATGAGAATGTTTTGGATTTACATGCAAAATTATTTTAATAATAGAATGGTTGAAAATGAGTTTGAAAAAAAAAAAAAAAGAATTAAGAAAATACTGATCAAACAAAGCCCAGATTTAAATTAAAAGGAAAAGTTTAAACAAACGCTAAACATTAATTAATTTCCCATGATTCCAATCTGGTGTTGTTGAATATATTCCATAGGTGAACGGGACATTAACAAATAATACAATGATACAAAAATGTCGAACTCATGAGGACTTACCAACTACATGTTTTACTTTAATTAAAACTAGTTCTAATAAAAAAAGTTCACACAATCAATATATATATATATACCTTCTATATGACGTAGAGCGTTGTTTATTACCATATGTTGATTTATATTGAATCTCTCAAAATATATATAGTTCACAAATTCGTCCAAGTGTCTAGCAACAAAACGGAATTAGGGAACAATAAACAATTAACAATCACAAGAATTTAACTAAAAGCAAACAACTAATCAATCAACTAGTTAAAAAGGTTTCGGGTTATCCTAGCAACATGATTGAATGGAACATATAATCAGATAAGAATAGATCAAAAAGATTCCAAAATAATTGAAGAAACAGAGAAAATAAATCTTCAATCCTTGAATGCCTTAAATGGATCTTGAATATTCTTTTTTCCTTCTCCATTCCTTGAGCCCAAGAAATTTTGAATTATTTCTTCTTCAATGATGAGAGAATTCTTGTGTTTGTCTCCTAAGTTGTGTTATGATGCCTCCCCTAACAATATGAGAATTTTCTAATTTATACAAGTTTCCAATAAGCCCATGAAAATGTCTAGAATTGCAACTAAAAAAAAAAAAATTTAAAAAAAAATCCGTTTAATACTCGCATAAGGAAAATTGGACGCTCTAGATGAATGGGCCATGTCGTCCCAGCTCAACCAGCCCCCCCCCCCCCTTGAACAAGGCCCACGTGGCCCTATTCAAATAGCTTTAGCCCGGAAGGTGTAGAGAAAGTAGGCTGCATAGGTGTGGACCTTGGGCCTCCTAGGCAATAAGGCTGATTAGCAAAATACTGCAGCGGGCTCGAGATTTTCTACGCTCCAAAATATTTGCAGCTCAGATCCTTTATCTATTAGGTCTGTGCATTGTGGTCCTTACTTTACTGTTTCCGTTCGTGTTTAGTCCTTTTATTTAGGTTTATATACACTTTTGGTCCCTCCAAGTTTAATTCATCCCAATTAGGTCGTACCACTTTCAATTGCCTTTGAATTGGTCATTCCTCTTCTTAACGCTTCCAGTTTGGTCTTCGATTTCTATTTTCTTCAAAATTGATCCTCCAAAGTATTGAGAATGTTAAAGTTGGTCTCTGAACTTTTCCAAAAGTAGAATTTGGTCCCAAAACAATATTTCTTTCAAATTGTACTTTCAAAGCTTTCTATCAAGTTCAAACTTCCTAAGTAGCTCTTCAATTTCATCCTTTTAGCTCTTACTATGATTCAGAATTCTTTATTTATGCTAAATTTACCTCCATGTAGGGTTTCCACCTGAAAAAGCAACATATATAAACCAGCATCATTTCAAAACTATTTTTTCTACGTACTCATTTTTAATCACACGTTTATATAATAAAATATTATACACGTAAATCTAAAAATTCAAAACTTTTTTTCCCCCCTCAAGATTATGATAATCAAAGAGTGGTATAATAATAAATGTATAAATGTTTCCAAGTAGATTAAGAATCTAGATGAGGTGTAAAAAACACTTATCAACATCTTCAAACTTACAATTTTGCTAGTCTTGAGTAAAATTATCTACTTAATTATTCTAACACACAAGCTGTTACATAAATCACTATGATCTACATGCAGCTAGCTGCGTCATCCACAAAGGGGCCCCATCATGTGCAGTAAAATAGGGATCATTGGTTATTTGAAAGGCAGCTTATCGTTATTCATAATAATAATAATTTACAGAAAAAAATGTTCCACTTTTTTACTAGAACTACTATACTACAGCTCAGTATAACAATAGTGTATTGTCTAGTTAGTTACTTTTTATTAAAAAAAAATAAAATCTATTTTCTAAAACAACTATACTTTTATGAAAACCGAAAGCCACTTATTGGATTTGAACCGATAACTTACGCCTTACAATGGCATTAGTCTACCACTGAGTTAAATATGGACTAAAATTACTTGAAAATTTATCAACTTTCTCAAACCAATAAATATAATTTAAAACAGAGTACATCCGCCCTTCCAAGCACAACTATTCAAAATAAAGTACGTTGGAATGGAATTCACACTTCTTCCCAAACATAAAAACAATTTCTTCTTCTATTCTTGTGAAACTTGAATTCTGTCTTACACCAATTTAATTTACATCTTGTTCATTATATTAATCCTTTCAAGTGTGTATTTCATCAATACTATAATTTCCCCAACTATCTTTACTCAAGCATTCAATTAGAAATGTAGGGATTACTAAAAATAGTATTACTTTCCATCAATCTGAAATTTAAACCATCAAATTAACCCAACTACTTAGAACCCTACAAAATTTAATATAAATCATATAATAGAATACTTACTTCTTTACCTCTCTAAGAAATGAAGAACTTGAAGGATGGAACTCGAGTCTTTCTCCCCCTTTTTTCCTTCTCTTTTTCTTCCTTTTTCTCTTTTCCTTTCTCTCCTTTTTCGATTTTTTTTTTCTGGCTTCTGCAATTTAGCGGTCCAAGTCTCTCCCTCTTGTGTGTATATATCATAAAACAAATGAGACATTAGTTAATAACTTGCCACTTGTCCTCCAATAATCCAATTTTGCAATCAAGTCCCTTCTTTTATGTTTTGTATAAATTCTCGTCATTAATCTTTCCATACTTATAAACTAAATCCCCCAAATTTAAATGATGGCCATTTTAAATCCTTAAGTAATATCAATAACAAAATAAACCCCAATAAAATAATTTGGCCAATTAAGTCCCAATCAAATTATTTATTTCATTTAAGTCCCTATTTGACCTTGACTTTGAAAATTTAACTTTTGACTTTTGACTAAATAATATGAGTTGTAACACACTCTCTGTGTGTGTGCGTGTGAGACTCATATTTTATTCCTTCTTTGCAGATAGGTTCAGATTTAAAGAAGTTGTTGGATGATGGAGTTGTGAATAGGGAGGATTTATTTATTATCTCTAAACTCTGGTAATCAACTTATGTTCACAAATACATTCAGCATGATTATATGTATGAAACGTTTACGAATTAATGAAGAATTGACATAATTGGGTTGTAATAAACTGATGTTTGCTGCTGAAAAAAATGAGAAAAAATACAGTAAATACCAATGGCAAATTGTAGACTTGGACTTCTTTTGATTGAAACTAGTAACTAATTAATATATGAAGGAACATTTGAGCCAATTTAGCATCTTATTAACTGAATTATTCATACCTTGTCCAAACATGTTGATTAAACGATGTTTTAGAATCTTCTGAAGATGTGTAACTCTTCAATAAATAGGCATAAATCATAAATGTAGCAGCTGACATAATTTTCTCTTCTGTTCTCTTCTCTTCAAATATCAAAGTTTGTATTTATTAATTTTAAGACTAGGAAGGTCGTGACCTATAGATGCTAGTGGGTTCGTCTACTTTATACATGTATAAATTTCTACGAATGCAATTTGTCATGGTTTTGCCTTCTTGATGTCAATGACTCTTGTAGTTGTGCAAAGTATTTGGTAACATCGAAATTTCAAATATGGACATGGTAATAGTACACATGCTACGTTGGTTTTGACTGTAGTAATGTTTTTATATTCCGGTTACCTCAACCCATTTTTTTTCTTGCTGGATCAAGTTCCGTTGTATTTTGTAACTAAAGTTAAATGACATTGTATTGATTAGAAATCATTAAGTTCACTTTATTTATATATGTACCGCGCACTCAGTGTTTT